CCCTGCGCCCCTTTATCTCGCGCGCCAGTCCTCCCGCAGCCGCTAGTGGTGCGCGCATTTCCCTCCAGCCTGCTGGGTGCAGCCATGGCCTCCTCCTCCGCGCGGCCCGCCGTCCTGGCCTCCACTGCGCTGGTGCTGTTCCTGCTGCTGTGCCTGGGCCCAAGTAAGTAGGGGCGATGCCAGGGAGCATTTTGAGTCCCTGAGAGGGCCAAAGGGTGAAAGGGATGTTGGGCTTTGCACTCGCACAAGTAGCAAGTGGTGCTCTTGGGCAGGCCGACAGAGTACCAGGGTCAAGGGCAGGGCCTCAGACCCGGGGAAAAATGAGGGCCAGAGGGTCCCAAAGAGGGACAAGAAGTGTTTTAGGACTAAGGTAATGAGGAGGGGTAATGGGAGCTTGACTCAATCAGGTGGTGCCCCGCCTTCCCCCCCACACCCCCGATGGTGAACAGACTTTGCATCCCACAGGGGGAACCGCTCTTAGGGGAGAAATGCTGTCCCTGGCTCTACTTCATGGAGCCCTCAGCAAATGGGTTGAAAATTCCCAATGGAACACTCCCTATAACATGTGCACTTTCACACACACCCAGAATGAAGCAGTGTGGTGGGTGTGCAGCCATCTGGACCCTGGGAGTGGACAGATCCTGCCTTGAGAAAGGCAGTGGGAAATAATGTTTTGTCTGGACACCACCGCCTTCCCATGTGGGGTCCTCTGTGGTTCACTAGTGGCCCCACATGCTCCAGGGCCTTTGAGGCTCACAACTGAGAGAGGCAGGCACTGTGGCCCCAGATCTCCTGCTAAGGGAACAAGGGCTGGAGTGAAGGACTTGCCCAGACCTGAGACCCCAGGCTGGTGCTTTCCCCACTGCGGAGTAGCTGGGCACTGGATGGAAATGGGAGTTTGCTGGCTACTGTATTTTACTTACTCAAAGCAGGTACAGAAAACCAAGTTCCTGGTGGAGGGGAGGGAGGAGGCATGCAGCAGGAGCCCCGAGGCTGGAGCTGGGGTCCTTCGGACAGCAGGGGACCTGTTCAAGTGTGTGT